CAGCCACAGCTTCCCTGGGCAACCTGGGCCAGGCTCTCACCACCCTCACACCAAAGAATTCCCTCCTCATCTCCAACCTCAATCTCCCTCTCCCACTTCTCATCCATCCCCCTCATCCCATCCCTCCCTGCCCTTGTCCCAAGCCCCTCCCCAGCTTTCCTGGAGCCCCTTCAGGCACTGGAAGCTGCTCTGAGGTCTCCCTGGAGCCTTCTCTTCTCCAGGCTGAACACCCCAACTCTCCCAGCCTGGCTCCAGAGCTGCTCCAGCCCTCCCAGCATCTTTGTGGCCAAGTCTGGGCTGAGGAGCTGCAAAGAGGAGAAAGGCATTACCTCAAATCCTGGGATGTGGTGGACAGCTGGCTGTGGGGAGAAAGAACACACACTTTGATTGGGATTTAGAGATCCTCTCCCCAGGCTTCAGCCCAGCACTGAGCCCCTTCCCACCAGCTCTGCTAAATGTGTCCCATCACAGCCCTGTGCTGAGTGTCACAGCTGGGTCTGCCCAGAGCAGAAACTGAGCACAGGCAGCCACAGAGCTGCTGAGCCCATAGAACCCCAGACTGGTTTGGGTTGGAAGGGACCTTAAAGCTCACCCAGTCCCACCCCTGCATGGGCAGGGACACCTCCCACCAGCCCAGGCTGCTCCAAGCCCCATCCAACCTGCCCTTCAACACCCCCAGGGATGGAGCCCAGGTGGACACAACTCGGTGCCAAGCAAAGGTTGGATCCCTCTGGGTGTTGAGAGACTCCAAAGGAAGAATCACAGAATCCCAGGGGTTGGAAGGGACCTGGAAAGCTCCCCCAGCCCAACCCCCCTGCCAGAGCAGGGGCACCCAGAGCACATCACACAGGAACGTGTCCAGGTGGGGTTGAATGCCTCCAGAGAAGGAGACTCCACAGCCTCTCTGGGCAGCCTGGCCCAGGGCTCTGTCACACAGGAAAGTACCCAGTGTCAGGGGGCCAGGTGGGGACCTCACCTTCTCCCTCTGAATCAGCTGGAAGGCAGCCAGCAGCTCCCCGACCTTCCTGCTGCCCCTGGTGACCGGGTGCCAGGAGAGCCGCGGCGACGCTGCCAGGCTGGGCTTGCAAATGCAGCGCCCCATGAACTCGTCTGCACCCTGAAAGGCAACCACAGGCATGGGGAGCCCCCTCCCCACCCCACCTCCTGGCAGGGCCTGTCATCATGCACCCACATCTCAGCCAAGACCCTGCCACCCGAAAACGGGGCTCGGTGTCTGAACCGTTACGGGACCAGTTCAGAGAAACAGAACAAGTGGGTTTGATGCCCACGTAGACCCAAGTTTCAACCCCCTCCCTGCAGGGCTGGGAACGTGCTCCTCCTGGTGCATTCTGGCTCCAAGGGAGGTGAGATTCCTGCAAGTAGCACCTCATTCCCAGAGCAGGAGCTCTGAGTATGACATCAAATACCAGCAGCTCCTGAAAAGCCCGTTCTCTGGTCTCAACGGGATCTTTGGTTGCCTTTGCTGCTTCCTGCTGGTGTCTTTTGGAGGAGGGAGGGCAGAAGGGCTCCTGAGAGGTCCCCGAGACATTCCCAAGGTCTGTTCTAAGTGCTTTTCCCTTGTTCACTGCTCTCACACTCTGCCCAAAACCCCTTCTGCTCTTATGACGTCCGGTTTTCCCAGGAAAGACTCCCAGTTCTCTCCCCAGCCCCCCAGGTGCCACCACTACGAGGCCCTTTGGGCACCTTTGAGCAAACACCAGTGCAGAGTCCCCTACTCACATGGCTGCTTCACCTCCTGCTCCAAGCCTTTTCCACGAGGAAACACTTTAACAACCCCCATCATTTTATGTGGCCTCTCTGCTCAAGCAGCTGCAGCTTTGGGAACCAGAGCATGGCCACCAAGGACACCACCAGCAGAGCTATTTGCCACATTTTTTGTCTTCTGAGTGTCCAGCTCGACTTGTGAGCCACCCAGAGGTGCTCCAGCATTGCTCCCCAGAGGGCAGGGACAACGTTTGTCCCACCTGCCCCAGCACACTCACCCCATGGAGATCCACCTCACCCCAACACACTTACGTAGGTGTCTTGGTCATATATTTCCACCACAATGTTGGGAGGAGAGTCAGATACTTTCTGAGGGTCCCCAAAGATCTCTATCTCATAGAAGATGAGTGTCTGGTCCCAGGTGGGGTTCAGGGTGTTCTTGATCACCACTGTCTTTTGGCTTTGGTGGAGGAAGGAGACAATGGCATAAGGATCTGCAAGAGATGTTAGACAAGAGGCAAGGGATGAGTTAGAGCTACTGGTCTAGAAAGGAGAAAGAAACTCGTAGTCATCCATGTCCCAATGGGCTGTGCAGACCCTGAACAGGCTGAAGGAGCTGTGAGTCTTTCTGAAGCACCAGTGACATTTCCCACCATGTCCCAGGCAATTCCAGCTGAGAAGAGAATCAGGCCAATGTCTCCTCCCTTGACAACCAGTGCAATTAACACAGGAAGCCTGAGACCAATTTATGGTTGGACTTGGTGATCTGGAATGTCTCTTAATGATTCTATGAGTCCATGATTCTATGAATTAGCAGAGATGTGAAACCTGAGCCCCTCTCCAACACCTTCCCTGCCAGACAGCTGCAAAGAGCACGTGGCCCAGAGCTGCTGTGGGCATCCAGCCTGCACTGGAGGTGGGGCTGGGCATGGAACAGGACAGGCAGTGGCAGAACCAGGATCAGGAGCTGGCTGAGAGGCTCAAAACATGTAGGGTCCCATTATAAGCCCCCATGGAGACTGAGCACCCCTCATAACCTGACAGTAACAAATGGTCCATGACAGGGATGAGACCCCCACGGTTGCTGCACCCCACCTGGCCAGTCCCAGGTGGACCTCTGAGCTCTGGCTGCCTGCAAAGCCCAACATCCACAGCTCCAGGAGACAACACAGGCCTTTTTGGAAGGACACAGGCCACCTCCCCCAGCTGGCACCCAGCACCACAGGCCACCACAAGACACAGAGCACAGGGTACAAGACCCATGCAGCAGGGTACCACCCAGGCCACCCCAAAACCAGTCCCAAGAGACCTGCCAACAGCCAGGATCGTGGCAGACCCTCCAAAACCCCCCACAGCCCCAGGAGATCCCCAGAACAGCCTGGAGATCCCCAGAACAGCCTGCACATCCCACCATCACCACCAGCAGGAGACTGAGCTTGCGCTGGGAGCAGAACATGCCCTGCCTACCCTGGAAGGGGAGCAGCATCCCCAGACACCTGAACGGGGGGTTGGCTGAGCAGGGTGGCATCTCCCACCCTCCATCCCCTCTTCCAGAGATGAGGGGGGTACCAAGGGGGTGTGTTTTCCTTCTTGGTGTCCACGCTGCCTGCACAGGGGCAGCTCCAGGAGCCCCATTCCCACTGGGAAGAACCTTTCCCACTCACACACTTTTTGTTCCAGCCAGAATGCGTGACAGTAAACCAAAAAAAAAACCAAACACCCCATGGATTTGGGGTTGCTATTTTGCTCTTTTTCCTTTCCCCCCCCCCTCTTCTTCTTCTTGAAGGAGGCCCCATAAAGCCCCTTTGTTCAGCCCCGGGTGTGCAGAGAAGGTTTGTTTTTCTAACGGTGCAAAGTCCCCTCCATGAACTCCTTTGTGCTTTGTTGGGGCAGGGGGGGAGGTCACCACTCCACGTCGTGGCATGTTGTTACTCATGTTGTCCTTGGCCAGGTTGTTCCAAAGGCAGGTTGTCCCCTCCCCTCCCTGCTCCCCATGACATCACCCCTCGGTCCCCACCACTCCCAACAACAAAGCCTTTGTGGGGCTGGAGGGGAGAGGGGACCTCTCTGGGTGCAGACACTGGGTGATTGTTTGGGTGCTCTGCACCTCTCCAGGGTATTTCTGCCCACCTTTCCCCCCCTCACCCCCGCTCAGGCCCCTCTGCTTCAAGGGGGCACAGGCGCCCCCCCCCCCCCCCCCAGGACTGTGGTCCTGCTGCCCAGGATGGTGATGCCCAGTTGTCCCTGTGCTGAGAGGCTTTTGGGATCTGTCCCTGCATCCCCAGATCCCTCCCCCCCAAACCCACACCCAGCCCCTCTGCAGCCAGCCAGTGCCAGCTTTGGAGGGATGCTGGGGGGATCCCAGGGGGACACACACCCCAGGAACCTCCTCACATCTCAGATGTGGACCCTGCCACCAGGTACTGGAGGTTGCAGTGAGGTGGAAATCAACCCTTCTCCCAACAAAGAAGTGATAGGATAAGAGGAAATGTCCTCAAGTTGTGCCAGGGGAGGTGGAGGTTGGATCTGGGGAACAATTCCTGCCTGGCAAGGGTTGTCAGGGCCTGGCCCAGGCTGCCCAGGGCAGGGGGGGAGTCCCCATCCCTGGAGGGGTTTCCAAGCCCTGGAGATGGTGCTGAGGGACGTGGGGCAGTGGGGCCTGGGCAGGGCTGGGGGAAGGGTTGGACTGGAGGATCCTAAAGGCTTTTTTCCAAGAAAAAATGATTTGATGATCTATAAACTGATGGAGAACTTCTTGTATTGCCCCAGCTCGGAGTCCAAAGTAAAACAGCAACATCCCCACTGTCCTGCTGCCCCACCTCAAAATGCAGAGCAGTAATGGGGTGGCAAAGGCAGCTTTTGTCACCAGGGTCACAGAGTCACCCAGCTGAGGTGGCCCAGCCCATAGGGAAGAGGGTGTGAGAACCTCCAGCTGCCAGGGGGCTGGTTCCTGCTTAGGTCCAACATGCAGGACCATTCCTGGCACGTCCCCCCACCCCCAGTCATTTCCCCAAAGGAAATGCTCCTCAAACCAAACCCTCTCACCCAAGCACCTTGGGGCACCAAGTGACAGCAGAGCAGTATCTTACTCTTGAGCTGATTTCCTAACCCAGAGAACATGAGCTCAGCAAGGGACATCCCACCCACATCAGCTCAAGCCTGGCAGTTCCCAAAGTGCCTGATGCTGTGCTAGGGACATGTTGAGCTGCAGAACATGGGAAGCACCTTCCTCAATGCCCAGAACACCATTTTCTCCACCTGGGACCACACTTTTTTCCATGAAGGGACATTTTTTACAGTAGGGTCTGAAGGATGCCTGGTTCAGACATCAGCTCCATCAAGGAGACCCCCCAGCTGTTGCCTCCCAGCCCCCTTGCAAAGTTTCCAGGATGGAGCACAGAGGAGCAGCAGCTCAGTTTAGTGTTTGGTCATGAAAACAGACATGAACCATTTCCCAGCTTTGCCACTGTTAGGATTTTTCCTTTCCAGCCATATTTTCAACCAGTTATTTCATTCCTAATAAACAGAGTCTCTGTTCTTCAGCCTTGGTCCCTTCTCCAAACCATGGCACAAGTGCCCTCCACAAACCCCAGTCCCAGGAGGCTGCTGAATGAGGGCGGCCAGGATGCAACCAGCTGGGAGCAAGCTGGATGCCAAGGGCACATCCATCCAGCCAGGAACTTGGTGAGGACTCAGAAGAAGGTCCCTGTCTGCTCCCAGGTCCTGCTTACACCTGTCTGAATTTCTCCGAGCACATCCCACTGAGGTTTCCGCCCCGTCCTCCATCATCTCAACCCCAGCCCAGTGCCCTCTGTGCTGCTCCCAGCTCTCACCCTGCCCAGGGGGATGGCTGGCTGGCTGGCTGCCACCAGAACCACCCTGCCCTCTGCTCTAGGTTGCTCTGTCCTGCCCCCGGGCTGCCTGCTGCCCAGCCTTGCTTGGCTTCCAGCATCACCTCGGCTCAGGGAGAAGGAGCCATCAGCAAAGCAAACAGCTCTGACTCACACCCAACCTGGGGCACCTGTGGTTTCTGGTTGGTTTCTTACATAAAAATTCTTCAAACTCTTTTTTTTTTCCTTCTGTTTTTTGCTGGTTTTGCTGCTGGGGACTGGAGCTCCAGGGTGGCTGCCTGGGGAGCCTCGGCCCGCTGTCCCCTGCTGCCAGGCTGCCCAGCAGCCCTCCCTGTCACCCCAATCAACACCCCGAGAGTGGTTTTCCAGCCCCCTCTGTTCCCTGGCATTCCTTACAGCACTAATGACAAGCACCAAGAGGTGGGCCTGGGTTTCTGGCCTTACCTGAAAAGCTGTCCTTGTCCATGGCCATCAGGTCCCGTGCTTGGTACATGTAGCAGCGGAGGTGGTACCTGTTCCCACCTGGGCAGGGGGGTGAGAAACAACCCAGAGATGAGTCCAGAGATGAGTGTGGGGTGTCAAGGGAATTGCTGGGGTTTTTGACCAGCCCCAGGCTGCTGTCTGAGGGCTTGGTCCTCCCCATGGCACCCCAAGGGAGCACCAAGCCCTGAGCATGTTGATATTCCCAGGGGGAACACCTTTCCCACCCCTCAATTTCCATCCACCTTCATGGATGGGCCACAAAGATGCTGGGAGGGCTGGAGCAGCTCTGCTCTGGAGCCAGGCTGGGAGAGTTGGGGTGTTCAGCCTGGAGAAGAGAAGGCTCCAGGGAGACCTGAGAGCAGCTTCCAGTGCCTGAAGGGGTTCCAGGAGAGCTGGGGAGGGGCTTGGGACAAGGGCAGGGAGGGATGGGAGCAGGGGGAAGGGTTTCCAGCTGGCAGAGGGAGCTGGAGCTGAGATGGGAGGGAGAAATTCTGGGCTGTGAGGGTGGGGAGAGCCTGGCCCAGGTTGCCCAGGGAAGCTGTGGCTGCCCCATCCCTGGGGGTGTTGAAGGGCAGGCTGGATGGGGCTTGGAGCAGCCTGGGCTGCTGGGAGGTGTCCCTGCCCATGCAGGGAGTTGGAACCTGATGGTCTTTAAGGTCCCTTCCAACCCAGACCCTTCTGTGTTTCCATTATTCTATGATTCACTGGAGGTGGGTGAGAGGAAGAGGGTGGGAAATGCTCAGCTGCAGGGTCCCCCCAGCAGAGACCTCCATGCCAGGACTGGCTGCAGGGGATTGCACCCTCCCCTCTGCCCCTCAGGGCCTTACAGTCAAATATGCACGAGATGGTGGGTCTGTTGACACCAAAACTGAGGGTGGAGATGGATTTGCCATCATCACTCTTGTCATCTGTCACTCCTCCCTGCAAGAGAAGGCAAAGCAAGGTCAGACATGCCAGGACCCACACCCAGAGGGGAGGGTGTCCTCCAGACATGGGTGTCCAAGAGAACTTCTGGCTTCCCCATGGAGGGACCCTCAGGCTCTTCTGCCCCAAAGGGCAGGAAGGACCCAGCTCCTGATCCGTGCTGTGCTGGGAGGGAAGAGGACACAGCAACACAATCAGCCCCAGGGTCACCTCCCAGCATCTCACCCACACTGAAAAGCCTCTCCACGAAGCTCCTCATTCTTGGAGCAGCAGTTACTGGCATTTCACTAAATCCCTTTGCAAGCACAATTAATGGAGCATAAACTTTCTGAACAGTGACACAGAAGGTGTCAACTGCAGCCAAATGTCCCATTCACTGCCCAGGGGGAGCCTGGGCTGACCTGGGCCATGGCTCTTCCCCCTTCTTGTGGTGGCCTTTTGTCACCTGCCAATTGCTGCATTCAGCTGGAAATCTTGAGGTGTGGGAAAAGGAGCCTCCAGGTAACTTCCTGGAGAGTGTAAATCTGATCTTTAAATAGGTTTCAGTTATGGAATGCAGGGGAGAGACAGGAGGGGTGTTTGAAGGAAAAGAAAAGGAAGGAGGGAGGAAGGGAGGGAGAGAGAGAGAGGGAAGGAAAGGGAGAGAAAGAGAGATAGAAAGACAGACAAAACAATGGGTCTGGGATGCAGTTTCCAGAGCCTGGAGCTGCTGAGCCCCAAAAACACATCAGGACCTTAGGTGGTCTGCAGAGCCCTCCTTGCCTTTCCCAGTGGGAATGACCATTCCCGTGACGTTGGGAAGGAAGCCCTGGGGTTTGTGCTGGATTTAGGGCAGCCAGGTTGTGCTGAGGGTTTACAAGGAACCTCCAGCACTGCCTCCCCTGCCTTCCCCCCACCCCCAGGGTGGGAAGAAGCCCCTGGGGGTGGGTGGCAGCCAGGACCCCCCCCTCCCCGGGTGGAGCCAGTGTGAGCTGAGGGCTCATCCTGGAGCAGCTGGTGTCCCCGAGGGGCTGCTGGGCTCCAGGGCTGGGCAGAGGGGAGCACAGGGCAGGGGAAGGGGGAGAACAGCCAAAATGGGGGGAAAAAAAAATATGCAGATAACAAGCCCTATAATAGGGGCTTTGTGCTGCTGTGCTTGGTTCCCATTTAGTCATTGGAAAAGCCAAAGGATTGTGAAACTGGGATTGTTTAGTCTGAAGAAGAGGAGGCTGAGGGGAGACCACAGTGCTCTCTACAACTGCCTGGAAGGAGGGTGTAGGGAGGTGGGAGTTGGGCTCTGCTCCCAAGGGAATAACAGCAGGACCAGAGGAATGGCCTGAAGCTGCACCAGGGGGGGTTGGACTGGGTATTAGGAAGAATTTCTTTACCCAGAGTGGTTGGACAGTGGCACAGGCTGCCCAGGGAGGTGGTGGAGTCACCATCCCTGAAGTGTTCAAAAGCAACATAGATGTGGTGCTGAGGGACATGAGTTCAGCACTGAAGGGGTAAATCAGGTTATGGCAGGGGGAGTTGGGTTATGGATGGATCTTCAAGGTCCCTTCCAACCAGGGTGATTCTGTGAGTCTATAAACCCCAGGTACAAAGAAAGCCCAGAATCCTGACCCGACCAGGAGCAGCCGGGAACGCGCGGCTGGGAACGGGTTCTGCCCCAGCTCCGAGCAGACCCAGCCTGGCTTCCCCGGGACCCAGCTTTTTGGGGTTGTTTCGTTGGGTTTTTGGGGGGGTTTTTTGGGAATCATGGAATCAGTTGGAAAACACCCTTAAGGTGCACCCCTCCCAGGTACAGCCAAAGCTGTGGGGTCTGCGAGGGTCAAGGTGCCCACCCAGCCCTGGGACAGGCTGCCCAGAGAGCCTGGGGAGGCTCCTTCTCTGGAGACTCTCCAGACCTGTCTGGATGCCTGAATGACCTGCCCTAGTTGGGTTTTTTTTTGGTCCTGCTCTGGCAGGGGGGTTGAACTGCATGACCTTCACAGGTCCCTTCCAACCCCTGTGATTCTATGAGCCCAACCTCTTCAAGGTGTTGCCAACTGTCCTACCCCCACATCCCTCCCCCCCAGCTTAGAATCATGGAATCAGTTGGAAAACACCCTTAAGGTGCACCCCTCCCAGGTACAGCCAAAGCTGTGGGGTCTGCGAGGGTCAAGGTGCCCACCCAGCCCTGGGACAGGCTGCCCAGAGAGCCTGGGGAGGCTCCTTCTCTGGAGACTCTCCAGACCTGTCTGGATGCCTGAATGACCTGCCCTAGTTGGGTTTTTTTTTGGTCCTGCTCTGGCAGGGGGGTTGAAATGCATGACCTTCACAGGTCCCTTCCAACCCCTGTGATTCTATGAGCCCAACCTCTTCAAGGTGTTGCCAACTGTCCTACCCCCACATCCCTCCCCCCCAGCTTAGAATCATGGAATCAGTTGGAAAACACCCTTAAGGTGATACAGTCCTGCTGTTAACCCAGCACTGCCAAGTCCACCACCATTCAGCCCTTCGTCCAGTCCCAGGGGTGAACCCCACTTGGAGAAGGGTCTGGCTGGGCTGGGGGCTGCCCGTGCTGAGCAGGAGGAGGTCAGATCCTGCCCAGACCTGGCTACCATCTGTGCTTCCATCTTTTCAGCCCGTCCTCCACTTCCGACCCCTCCCAGAGCCACTACAGCTTTGCCACCCCTGGGAACTTCTCCCCGGGCCTTGGGTCACAAGCCCATGAGGGCTTTTTCTTCCCTGAGCTGCGTCACCTCCGTGTGACACTTTGCATTCCGTGTTTTCCAGCCACAATTATCTAGGGGGAAAAAAAATGCTGGAGAGGGAGGAAAGTGTCCTGGGGAAGGGAAGAGCAGCAGCCCAGGGGTGGCATTTGCAATCCAACTGCACCACCTAGAGGAAAGCTGGACCAGGAGAGGAGACAGACGGGACTCCTGCCAGCCCCACATCCCTCAAGCTGCCTCGTGGCACGCGTGGATACAGTCCTGCTGTTAACCCAGCACTGCCAAGTCCACCACCATTCAGCCCTTCGTCCAGTCCCAGGGGTGAACCCCACTTGGAGAAGGGTCTGGCTGGGCTGGGGGCTGCCCGTGCTGAGCAGGAGGAGGTCAGATCCTGCCCAGACCTGGCTACCATCTGTGCTTCCATCTTTTCAGCCCGTCCTCCACTTCCGACCCCTCCCAGAGCCACTACAGCTTTGCCACCCCTGGGAACTTCTCCCCGGGCCTTGGGTCACAAGCCCATGAGGGCTTTTTCTTCCCTGAGCTGCGTCACCTCCGTGTGACACTTTGCATTCCGTGTTTTCCAGCCACAATTATCTAGGGGGAAAAAAAATGCTGGAGAGGGAGGAAAGTGTCCTGGGGAAGGGAAGAGCAGCAGCCCAGGGGTGGCATTTGCAATCCAACTGCACCACCTAGAGGAAAGCTGGACCAGGAGAGGAGACAGACGGGACTCCTGCCAGCCCCACATCCCTCAAGCTGCCTCGTGGCACGCGTGGGGGTTCCTCACCACCCCACCCGTGGGCTCAGCTACACCCCTGGGAGATGCCAACCCAACCTCCAAGCACAGAGGCTGCTCCAGCGTGGGCAGCAGGCAGGAGCACAGCAGGTCTCTGCGGGAAGCCGAGCACCTCCGCTTCCACGCGCGGAGACACGGCCAGGGACCCTCAGCCTGCTCTCAGCCTCTTCTCCCAGGCCTGCCCTACCTTCCTCGTGGTCTCCATCTGGGCCAGGTCCCTGCGGCGCAGCCGGACCCAGCGCCGGCGCCGGTTGGTGTGGTACATCTTCTCAGCTGGCACCCAGGCCTTGGGCTTGCGCTCCGGGGGGATGGTGATGCCGTATTCCCAGCCTTGGAGAAAAGAGGGGACAGCTGGGTGAGGGACAGAGAAGAGTCCTCCCCCCACCTCACCCCTCCTCGCACACAAATCCAGGTTGGAACAACCTGGAGAGCAGAGGTTTGTCCAGACACGTGTTGTCCCGGTTTTGCTGGTCCACATGGAAAATGACCCTGATGCTGGTACCTAACGGAGGTGTCCCACTGGGGGTGCCCGGGTGATGGACTCATGCTGTCCCACCAGCCCTTGGCTCAAAGTCACAGCCTGGGGACTCTACTCTTCCTGCCTTAGGCAGCCCCATCCCTCATGAACACCTCAGATGTTCTCTGGCCCGATGCTTCCCGTTTCTGTTTCACCAGGAAGGGTCTTCCAGAAGAACAGCCTGGTCTATCCCCAGCAGCAAGGGAAGTGTTTCCTAGGTGGTTGCCCACCCCACTGCCCCAGCCTTGAGGGAAAGAAGGGACCCCCAGGGCCTGACCCCACCTCTGAATCCAGGAGGGCAGCTGACATAGCCATCAAGAGGATGTGACCATCCCTCGTGCTGGATGGGACCATGGATGGAAACATCCCAATGGGCAGAGTGAAGGGGATGGAAATGACACGGACCCCCCCCCCAACTGCCTGGCACCCAGGCCTTGGGCTTGCGCTCCGGGGGGATGGTGATGCCGTATTCCCAGCCTTGGAGAAAAGAGGGGACAGCTGGGTGAGGGACAGAGAAGAGTCCTCCCCCCACCTCACCCCTCCTCGCACACAAATCCAGGTTGGAACAACCTGGAGAGCAGAGGTTTGTCCAGACACGTGTTGTCCCGGTTTTGCTGGTCCACATGGAAAATGACCCTGATGCTGGTACCTAACAGAGGTGTCCCACTGGGGGTGCCCGGGTGATGGACTCATGCTGTCCCACCAGCCCTTGGCTCAAAGTCACAGCCTGGGGACTCTACTCTTCCTGCCTTAGGCAGCCCCATCCCTCATGAACACCTCAGATGTTCTCTGGCCCGATGCTTCCCGTTTCTGTTTCACCAGGAAGGGTCTTCCAGAAGAACAGCCTGGTCTATCCCCAGCAGCAAGGGAAGTGTTTCCTAGGTGGTTGCCCACCCCACTGCCCCAGCCTTGAGGGAAAGAAGGGACCCCCAGGGCCTGACCCCACCTCTGAATCCAGGAGGGCAGCTGACATAGCCATCAAGAGGATGTGACCATCCCTCGTGCTGGATGGGACCGTGGATGGAAACATCCCAATGGGCAGAGTGAAGGGGATGGAAATGACACGGACGCCTCCCCCAACTGCCTTCTTGTACCTTTTTCATCCACAGCTCTGTTGAGATCTGTATCCCACTCCACGTCTTCCCATTTCCAGCCTGGAGGACACTCAATCTCATCCTTTGGCAGGACCTTCTCCCCATTCTGTGGGATTCAGGAATGGGTTTGCTCAATCAGTGCCCAGCGGATGCCTAAACAACCCCTGAGCCCCTGGGGGGTTTCCTGGCACTGCAGCCCAGGGTGGTGGCTCAGCACCCACCTGCCCACTTTGTCCTTACCACATCAGTGTAGGCATCAGCCATGTGGATCCACTGGCCTCCAGGCAGCCTCACCTCGTTCTCAAACACCTCCTCCACGAAGCTCAGGTGCCCGGCGTCCACATCGTGCAGCAACCTGCACCCCAGGGAGATGCTCGGTGTCAGGGGCTCCCCCTCCCAGTCCTCCCAGCCCTGCGTGGTCAGCAGCATGTCCTCCCTCCTCTCCAGGCCACCAAAGCCACCCTGAACCTCTTCCACCACAGATGCACCCAGCAAAGCTCCCACGAGACCCCAGCAACCTGGCCCAGGTGAAGCCCAACACGCAGGTTGTAGGTCCAGTGTGAGAGGACAGCAGAGCTCTGCTGAGCATCCACCACCCCCTCAGTGCCCCAGTGGGATCCCACCTCCACAGCTCCCCAGTGTCCCAGTGAGCTGGGTCCATCCTCTCCACGAGAGCTTGTGCAGCCCCCAACCACCCCAAGGACATCTTGTGTTTCCCATCAGCGTTGCTGCCCACCAGGGGCAACAAGGAACCCCCGCGGCACCTCAGATCTCCATCCAGCTTTCTGGGTGGCCTTGCCCACCCCGCTCAGGTTGCTGGGGTGCCCAGGACAGCCCACACGGGCTCTGTGCTCCACAGAAAACCAGCACTCACGTTTTCTCCGGGCAGATGAACCAGTCCCCAGCCCAGGTCCAGCCCGCGGAGGGGCGGAAACTGTCCTTGGGCAGCTTGATCCTGCCCGTCACGTCTGAGTACTTGGGGTAGGTCAGGCCAGTCGTGCCCCAGTTCCCCACCAGTGCCAGCTTGACCTGGTTCTCATACTGGGGAAGCAAAAGCAGAGTTTTTTTTTTACCTTGGAGGCACAAAGTCCTATCAATAATTCTTTTGAAATCCCATGAATAACCCCTTCCTTCCTGGAGACCCCCATTCTGAGGACAGGGAAGAGCCTAACTACCCCCCACCAGACCCTCCCCCCCCCGCCATGGGCACCCCCAGATTTGCCCCTGAGCAGACAGAAGTTGACAAGAAGCCAGAGTGGGCAGGAGATGTGGCTGTGTGGCAGAGATGTGGCTTTATGGCTCTTCACCAGCCTTCTCTCCAGGCTGCTGGAAACAGCTCTTTTGTCTCACAGTTGGTGGGTGCTGGTGTGACCCCCACCTGGCAGTGCCCACACGGGTCCACTCCACACCCTCCCCACCCGTGGTGGAGCTGCTGCCCACACTGGAGAGAACAAAAAGGGCTTTAAGGGGGGGAGGTCCCTGCCAGGTGCTCACGGTTTCAGCGAAGACAGAGAGCTTCCCCTCGGCGAACTGGTTGAACTCCTTCTCATCCACTGACAGCCCGAACCAGAGCTGGACCCGGATCTGGGCTGGGATCCTGGGGCCCATTGCCTCCTCCTGGGGGTACTGCCAGGGGCAGAGCCTCATTAATATCCCCAAGGAGAATATTGATGGGGGGATGAGAAGCTGGGGGTGGTGGGCACGAAGCCCCCGTAGACCCAGCCGGGGAGTAGGTGGGACACAGAGCATGCCCTGGAATTGGGACAGTATCAACAGAGCCCTTTGGGGATGACCTTGAGGAGCTTCAAAGCCCTCATCAGGGCTTCAGCATGCTGGTGAGACATCTTCAGGGCTCTGGCACCAAACCCCACCAACACACTCCAGCAAAAATAGCCATAACCAGGGAGACCTTTATCTCTCTGCCCTTTTCTCTCTCTCCCAGTCACTCCTTTTCCCCTTCCAGTGATGTCAGTTTTCCATCCCAAGCTCAAGTGCAGAAAAAAAAAACCCCATATATTTTGGTTCATCTCCTGCTGCCAAGCTGGGCTTGGGGCCTGGGGCTTTATTCAGCTTATTTTATTTCTCTTGTGTTTTTTTAGAGCTTGTTCAGCA